GTTTTTTTTTTTTTTCTTTTATCTCCTCCTCCATCTAATCCACATCAAACTCCTTGCACAATCCTTTTACCTCTCCTCCCACCAATCCTTCTTATGTCAACATTTCAATACCTCAAGAAGACCATTGATTTCTATATGAAACCTATCTACAACATTGAGACCAAACTCAAAAGTGTTGGGATTGCTATGGTCTCACTTCATTTAAGATATGTTCATTAATTTATATAGTTAATTCTCACCATATTTTTCAAAGATAAAATATGGCTCAAAATAAAAAATTAAAAACCCTACACTATCATATTAGCAAAAAAATCTATTACGATACTTCTTGATTAACAATATAAGCTTTTCATGTAATATTAAATATACTTTATATAAGATACTTTAATGTTATTTGAACTGAAACTAAAGAATACAAGTTTTTTTCAAGGATATATTTAAGTAAAATATTACATTTATTTTTTTACAATAATAATTTATCAAGTCTTGCTTGTCAATTAATAAAATGAATGCATTTTATTTATTTTCTTAGCATGAATTATTATATGAAAAATTAATATTCACATTAATATATCAAATTAATATTATTTTTTAGCATGGAATTATTATCAATTATATTATTTTTTTTCACATATTGTATCTTTTTTTTTTTTTTTTGCAATTCATATATCCAATTAAATGAGTGTCTTGTGTTCATTATTTTAAAATATATTTAAATATAAATTTATTGATAATAAAGGTATTTCTCTAACTATTAGAAGGAATTTTTATTAAAACTTATATTTTAATATTTTAAAATTTTAAAATAAATTTATAATAAAAAAAAATTTTATCAGAATACTGAGCTAATTGCTCGACTCTTTTACAAATAGGTGAAATGAAAATATTATGGCTGACCTCAAAGAACTTTTATTACGTCCTCTGACCGGACGTAGTTCTACGTTCGGTCATAGGATTGTTACTCTATTTTTGTTCGGTATTTGGTCTGTATTTTTTAGGTATTGTTTGGTTAAACGAGAAATACCGTTCTATGAAGATCAATACCGAGTTATACCGAGCAATACCGAGTAATACCAAAAATACCTAATTTTTTTTAGAAACAATTTGATATTTTTTAGCATTATTTGATATAGCTCGTTATTGCTCAGTATAACTCGGTATTTTATCTTAACATAATGATATTTCTCGTTAGTTTTTAGTATTGCTCAGGTATATCCCATTTTGTGTTGTGCGATTTAGCTTGCGCCGATAGGTAGCGCTAGGTATGTTTACCGGATGTAATAAAAGTTCGACCTCAAACCTTCCTCGACTAATTGAAGTTTGGTGCATACTTAGCGACTTGAAATAGGCTAAGCAGACGGATTTGTGGAGGAGAAGGAGATTGATCTGCGCCGAGCTTTCCACGCCGGGAAAAAGGCGACGGTTTGGGGGATCGGCATCCGATGGAGGTAGAACCGGCGTGGCGATCTGTCGCTCCGCCGTTACATGGCCTGGATTCTTCTTCTTCTTACTCTATCTCTTTCTATTCGTCTCGTGGATGCCTGGAACGGAAGCTGTTTGGATAAACTTGCCGGCGGGCGGTACGAAGTGCGTTTCGGAAGAGATCCAACCTAACGTTGTCGTCCTCGCTGATTACTCTGTAGTTCCCGAGGACTCTAGCACAGAGCACCCACGATCTCGCCAAGGTATTGATTCTTTATTATCCTTTTACTTTTTACATAAGATGAGTTTATGAAAACTGGTGTTCTATCTTGTTGGATTGGGAAAAAAAGATCTGTTTTAGGTCTCCAGATTGATAATTTCTGGATTTTCTTCACGGTATTCTAGATTGGTGCCCCTATGTTGTTTTGATTGATGGAGTAGAATTAAACGAAAGAGAAAGGCTTGGCCCGTTGTTATGACAGTTGTCTGTGTTATGTGCAGTTTTGGTTATTGTTGTCATCATGGAATGTGCGAGCTGTTAATTTACGGAGTGATTATGAGGTTTAGTAGATTGCTAGGAGTGAATTAGATAGTGTGTATCAGAAAAGCAATTACTACTTGATTCGTTGAAGTGCACATTTCCTTTTATTATTTTTCGTAGTCATACTTGAGTTTTATTTAAACACATTTTTACCTATGAAGTTTATAATGTTTTATTAAAATTAGCTCCCTCAAATTATACTAGATAGTTCATCACATTAAAGGAGGCATAGTATTAATCACAATCACAACAAAGGCTAAAGGGTGCAAACTTTGCACAGTTGGCATTGATGTTGTATGAGCAAGAACGTGGTTCTAAGAAATGATCAGTGGTTTGTTTGAAGGAAGATTGAAGGGTAGGGGGCATTGGGCCCAACTAAAAAAGAGTATTGATAGTGATTATTGTAGAGAGGATAGACATAGTAAGGACAAAAGTTAGAGGTATAATTGCCGCTGAAGACAACGGTAAATCATAAAGGAGGTGAGGGTGATACATTATAGAAGGAGACATGAAGTTTAATTACGGAGTGTAACAGAGATTAACAATGAAGAACTTAACACAGTTGGTGTTGATGTTGATGTTGAAGAAGACAACTTAGAATGATCAAAGGTGGGCTTTGTTGGAGGGAAGATCTAATGGTCAAGGGATGCAAGCGCCAATAGGCTATGATAACTGCTGGTTGGTGGGAATGAGTGCAAATAGGTTATGTTTATCGGTATGAGCGTGCACTGGATCAAATCCTGGACACAAGAGATGGTAGCATAAATAATCACGACAGGAGAGGTGCAATGATGGTGAATGCAAGCAGTCTTATGGTTAGTCATCGGTCATTGTGCAAGTGTTGGCGATCAAGAAGCGCAAGTAGAGGGTAGTTGAGATTGGGAAGGTGTGCGATTCTCAATGAAGAGAAATCATATTGGTTTGGTCTACTAGATACCATATTAGAAGGGTGGGGAAAATTTTTATATATTTTTTGAATTATACTTTTTCCTATCTATCAAGAGGAGAGTCATATCAATGAAAATATAATAAAATGAGGATATTTTAAAAAAATATATATAAAGGAGAATATTTTAATAATAGGACAATATTATAATAAGTAGCATTGATTCTTATTATAAATAAGTTGGCACTTTTATAATTAGAGATATGATAATAAGAATCAACCTCATAGGCATGTTGTGCAACAAAAGAAACTAATATAAATATGAAATAAACCAACTAAAGATAAAATTGAAACTAAAAATGTTGATTTGCAAGCGAGCACAAATTATGACGTTGTCTCCCTATTTGAAACATAAATCTTACAACTTAGTGTGAATAGTATTGATTCTTGTGGATATATTTGATTCAACAAACTAATTGTATTTATGGGCCTCAAAAATACTGCCATGCAATTTGACTTGCAAGATTTCTATTGGTCTTTGTTCCTAATTTAGATTATTTAGGCTTGTAAAGCCTTGTATGTAGCTTGTGTTGTTACATTAGGTGCCTATAAATAGAGGCCCTATGAGTTGTAATAGATATGGTTAAGAATAAGTTTGCTTACGTTGTTCTGCCTCCCTCTCTTCCCTTCTCCTCTCTCCCTCCTCCTCTCTCAACTTCAAGAAGGAAGTTTTTTCCTCTCTTGCAGCAGTGGATTCAACAAATTGGGTATAAACTCCACCTCGATCTAAACTCCACCTGAATATGATTATCTATCTTCTCCCCATTCGAGACTGGACCGAACAGCCAGCCTGAAGCCATGTCCAGCTTCTCGAGACTTCTGCGTGTAGCCAACTTCAGCCATAGTCTGCTCCAAGATCCTGCACTTTGGCTCGCACTTCCGAAGCAGATCCAGCCGACCTCATCTGCGTCGAACCCGTCTCCTGAGTCCAGCAACTTAGCTCGACTCCACCTTACGCGAGGCACCAAAGCCATCTCCGGCTTCTCTACCCCCTCTGCAGCAACGCTCGATGGAGAAATGCACCCGGTCTGTCGCTTCATGCTTGTCCACAAAGAACCTCATGGCCTACAACACTGGACGGAACCAACACCTGTTCTCGATCTCATTCTTGCCTTCCAATCTCTTGCTGACAAACTTTTGATTTACCATGACATCATCCTCTTCATCAGTAAGAATCTAAATTCTTTTCTGATTTTCCTTCCCATAAATCTGAATGAAAAGGGTGGAAGGGTTCCTCTTGCCCGTGCAACTGCTCAAAAACCTCCTCTCTTTTTATCAAGAACCTTCCTCCATCCCTAGCTCTGATCCATTTTGTAGGATCTTGGAGTGTTCTTGAGAGCTCATCTTGAGCTCTTCTTGCAAGAGAGGGATGAGGGAGGGGAGAGGAGATAGACAGCATTGGGGAGGATAAATACCTAAAACTTCGTTAATTTTCCAACCAACATCATTACAAGACCTCTATATATAGAGATGTACAAGGTGTGGTAGCATGCGATGAATCACTATGCTCTAACAAATCAAACATAACACTAAATGAATCAAAATGGATATTTGGCACCAAATTTACTCACTTGACGCACTAAGTATAGCTTATAGAGGGTCCACATTTGACTGCAAAATGTTTATGAGTAGTTATCTTGATCAGCACTCCATTTGTGTTTGGCGTTAGATTCAGATAGCCTGCAAACTAATCTCAATGGGTTTTGTGTCTGCTTCTGTCACTGGAGCTGTCACTGCTCTTGCTACTAATGCTTCTTAGAACACGGAGACCAGTGGGTTATAGGGCTGTTGAAACCAATTATGGTGATCCAAGTTTGATGTCACTATAGAATAAACAAAGTGGCTGGTGGTAGGCTAGTCTGGACTGTGGCCAGAGATAAGGTTGCTTTCTACATGTTGGTTTGGTTTGGTACTGTCATTAATTGCAAAAACCTCAGACAAGTATCCGCCAGTTTTGTCTAACATCTTGAAAAAGCACTTTGATTATTCTGATATTATCTAAAATTTGAAATTAAGATAGCATCAAACCATAATTGCCCACACATAGAGCCTCTTTCGTTTATCTCAGATATGGAGAAGGGTTTGGGTGATGCTATAAGAGAAATTTACCCTGTTGCTGAGCATAGAATATGTATTCGTCATCTGTGGAAGAATTTGAAAAAAAAATTTCATTGCAAAGACGGTCATAAGATTCAAGGTTTGGTTTGGGCAGCAGCAGGAGCATATACTAGCACAGAATACAATGACAAACTTGCAGAACTTAGTGTTCTGAGCCCAACTATCTATGCATATCTTACAAACTTACCTTACAAGTGGTCAAGAAGCCAGTTCATTTTAGGGATCTACCATGCTACTAATACAAGTAACAGTGCTGAATCATTCAATGCATGGATTGTAGATGCTCGAACTAAACCAGTTGTTGATTTAATTGACACACTTCGTGGTAAACTTATGGAGCAAAGGTCGACGCGAAAGATGATGAGCATAACATGGCAACGTGAATTAGTTCCTCACGCGGAAGATTACATAAGAGAAATAACTACAAGAAAAGAGCATATGTTAGTTCGTCAGTCAACTAATTCGAAGGCTGAAGTAGAATCTGTGCATTCAAGACATATTGTTGATGTTGAATCTAAAGAATGTACATGTCGAATATGGCAATTAACCAGACTTCCATGCATTCACGCTGTAGCCTTTATTGGAATGAAGGAGCATCCACTATGGCATACATATGTTCATGATTTGTATTTCGTTTATAGGTAACTTCCCACTTTATATTGAATTGCATACATTTCCATGGCATGATAAATATTTCGTATGTGTTTTAGGTACAGGATGGCATACGAGGGAGCTATCGGTACATTACCTGATAAAGAACAGTGGCAAATAATTGAAGATGTGGTCGATATTGGAGTGCCTAACACTTCAAGACCTAGAGGAAGACCCAAAAAAAGAAGATTAACAAATTTCCTTGAGAAAGATAAGAAAGTGCATAAATGTAGCAGGTGTTCACTTTGGGGGCATCATCGGAGCACATGCAAGAACCCATTACAGAACAATGATACAATGACACAAAACGAAAACCCATTATCAAAACGTAGAAAGTTGGATAGTAGACGGACTGCTGAGACTATCAACGATGGAGTGGAGTTTGAGTGCCTACCTCTTGATGGGTTTTGAGATTGTAATTTTTGGCTGTTTTTTTGTTGTTCTTTTGTGATGCTAAAACTAAAAGTCAGATGTAATTTTTGGCTGTTTTTTGATATATTTTGTGCTGGTTTCCTAAAACTTCAAAGTATTTTTTGCAAGATTAAGAAGTTCCACATTATGGTGTGCTTGGTTCATTCACGGGTTTTATATAATGTAATGTTATTAAGAAATACCAACTGTTTTGGTTCATTGACATTTTAAAATAATAATTTCATATGACATTCTGTTCTATTTTGATTACATTTAGAAACAATTTTCAGAATTGCTGCTGAAGGCAGCAAGTGACTATGGAGCTTTAACTGCATCAGTTGCTGAATTCCAATGGAGCCAGAATTTTAGGGAACTGCATGCTGTTGCAATAATTCTTTATTACTCCATTTGCTCAGCTGTTTATGAAGTATTACACGCTGTAGCCTATATTCTATTCCTGTTGCATCGAGCTTTAAGAAGCATAGGTTTATGCACTTTAAAATGCTTCCTGGCACCTATTTCTTTGAAAAGATAAAAAAGTATAGGTATATGCTGTTTCGTGAAGTGCTTCCTGGCACCTATTTCTTTGCCGAATGCATAGCTTCTTTAATAATTTGCTGGAATTGCCATAGGAACTTCTCCAAAAATTTATGATCAAAAAATTAAGAAGGATAAAACACATCACTTCTCCAAAAAAACATCATAAATACTCATGATTTATAAACTTTCAATATTCATAAATACATATTTTAGTTCCATACAATAGAAGGATAACATACATCACTTCTCCAAAAAAGATATCATATTTTTCTTGTCGTTTCACAAAACCATGAGAAGTTTAACATAACATATGCTCCAACATAAAAGATCACTAGCCTAAATAAAGGCGGACAGTAATGTCAATAAAAACCATCACTACAAAAACTTTCATCATGCGAAGAATCAAGTCGAGCTTCTTCGAATTCCTAGCATCACTGACCTTAAATTCAATTAGTGTCACGTAAGTAGGCTCTTCTTCTTCTTCCTCATCTACCCATTTGAAGAACCTGCAATCATCCTCAGTTTGATTATACACACACCTATAAAATTGTCTTCCACTGTTGGGGCCTCAGTGGCAGGTGAACACGACACATTTTAGGTGGCAATTGCAGTGAAGCTTCGACTGCTGCATCCGACTCTTCACAACAGATGAATTTGATGAACTCATTAAAACCTATATAAAAACTGTATAATTGATGAAAAATATACATTAGAGCAGGTTTTAACTGATTCTAACTATAAGAACACTTGCAGGAAAAGAAAAAACAAACAAAGGTCACGGGAAAAAAAGGGAAAATGAAGGGCACGGATCAGGTATTTCCTTTCAAACGAAGGGCACGGAAAAAAAACACAAAAAATCTCGATCAAAAGTTGCCTTTATCTGCAAGGTTTCATTTCAAATACTGCTTCCTTGCTTCTCAATAGCTAGATCTGCGGTAGATCTCAAAAGCAAGCTATCGGTACATTCCGAATACCCTCTCACAGATCTTCGACAAAAAAAAAAGCGAATTAATGGCATGGATCATACCTACTCCCGATCTCAAAAGCAGGTTATTACCTTTCACCTTCCTCCCCGATCGCTATCTCCGCCACTCGCGCTGCTCGCACTGCTCGCACGGCTCTTTAACATTTGCGGTAAAAAGAGGGGAGAAGTCGGCGTGAGATGGGGATGTAACGGAGTGGTAAAACTGAGATATAAAATGAGTTTTAGGTGGTATAATAGTAATATTAAATTTTTAGGTGTTAGATATGTAAATGATAATAAATATAGTGGTATGTATGTAAATTTCCCTAAAAAATATTGATCAGAATACTGAGCTAATTGCTTAATTCTTTTACAAATAGGTGAAATAAAAAAATTATGGCTATGACCTCAAACGTTCCTCGACTAATTGAAGTTTGGTGCATACTTAGCGACTTGAAATAGACTAAGCAGACGGATTGTGGAGAAGGAGATTGATCTGCGCCGAGTGGAACCGGAAAAGGGCGACTGTTTTGGGGGATCGGCATCCGATGGAGGAGAAGAACGGCGTGGCGATCTGTCGCGCCGCCGTAACGATGCCTGGATTCTTCTTCTTCTTACTCTTCTCTTTCCTATTCGTCTCGTGGATGCCTGGAACGGAAGCTGTTTGGATAAACTTGCCGGCGGGCGGTACGAAGTGCGTTTCGGAGGAGATCCAACCTAACGTCGTCGTCCTCGCTGATTACTCTGTAGTTCCCGAGGACTCTAGCCAAGAGCACCCCACGATCTCGGCCAAGGTATTGATTCTTTATTATCCCTTTTTACTAGATTGGTCGAAAAACTTGATTTAAGGGATGAGTTTTATGAAAATGGTGTTCTATCTTGTTGGATTGGAGAAAAGATCCTGTTTTAGGTCTCCAGAATCCAGATTGATAATTTCTGGATTTTCTTCACGGTATTCTAGATTGCTGGCCCTATGCTGTTTTTTGATTGATGGAGTAGAATTAAACGAAGAGAAAGGCTTGGCCCGTTGTTATGCAGTTGTTGTGTTATGTGCAGTTTTTGGTTATTGTTGTCATCATCGAATGTGCGAGCTGTTAATTTACGGAGTGATTATGAGGTTTAGTAGATTGCTAGGAGTGAATTAGAGAGGTGATCAGAAAGCAATACTACTTGATTCGTTGAAGTGCATATTTCCTTTATTATTTTTCGTAGTAAACTGAGTTTATCTAAACACATTTTTACCTGTGAAGTTTAATAATGTTGTGATAAATTAGCTTCCCTCAAAATTAACTAATAGGTCATCACATTATAAAGGGAGGCATATGATTAATCACAATCACAACAAAGGCTAAAGGGTGCAAACTTTGCACAGTCGGCATTGGTGTTGATGAGCAAGAACGACAACTAAGAATGATCAGTGGTTTGTTTCAAGGAAGATTTGAAGGGTAGGGGGCGTAGGGCCCAACTAAAAAAGAGTATTGATAGTGATTATTGTAGAGAGGTAAGCATAGTAAGGACAAAAGTTAGAGGTATAATTGCCGCTGAAGACAACGGTAAATCATAAAGGAGGTGAGGGTGATACATTATAGAAGGAGACATGAATTTAATTACGAGTGTAACAGAGATTAACAATGAGAACTTACACAGTTGGTGTTGATGTTGATGTTGAAGAAAGACAACTAAGAATGATCCAAAGGTGGCTTTGTTGGAGGAAGATCTAATGGTCAAGGGATGCAAGGCCCAATAGGCTATGATAACTGCTGGTTGGTGGGAATGAGTGCAAATAGGTATTTTATCGGTGAGCGTGCACTGGATCAATCCTGGACACAAGAGATGGTAGCATAAATAATCACGCACAGGAGAGGTGCAATGATGGTGAATGCAAGCAGTCTATGGTTAGTCAATCGGTCATGTGCAAGTGTTGGCGATCAAGAAGCGCAAGTAGGAGGTAGTTGAGATTGGGAAGGTGGCGATTCTCAATGGAAAGAGAAGATCATATTGGGTTTGGCTCTGATACCATATTAGAAGGGTGGAAAATTTTATATCTTTTTTGAATTATACTTTTTCCTATCTATCAAGAGGAGAGATCAATCAATGAAAATATAATAAATGAGGATATTTTTAAAAAAATTATAATAAAGGAGAATATTTTTAATAATAGGAAATATTATAATAAGTATCATTGATTCTTATTATAAATAAGTTGGCACTTTTATAATTTAGATATGATAATAAGAATCAACCTCATAGGCATGTTTGCAACAAAAGAAACTAATATAAATATGAAATAAACCAACTAAAGTAAAATTGAAACTAAAAATGTTGATTTGCAAGCGAGCACAAATTATGACGTTGTCATCCCTATTTGAAACATAATCTTACAACTTAGTTGTGAATAGTATTGAGTTTTCTTTGTGGATATATTTGATTCAAACAAACTAATTTGTATTATGGGCCTCAAAAATACTGCCATGCAATTGACTTGCAAGATTTCTATTGGTCTTTGTTCCTATATTTAGATTATTTAGGCTTGTAAAGCCTTGTATGTAGCTTGTGTTGTTACATTAGGTGCCTATAAATAGAGGCCCTATGAGTTGTAATAGATATGGTTTAAGAAATAAAGTTTCTTACGTTGCTCTGCCTCCCTCTTCCCTTCTCCTCTCTCCCTCCTCCTCCTCTCTCAACTTCAAGAAGAGGAAGTGTTCTTCCTCTCTGCAGCAAGTTGGATTCAACAATTTGGTATAAACTCCACCTCGATCTAAACTCCACCTGAATATGAATATCTATCTTCTCCCCCATTCGAGACTGACCGAACAGCCAGCCTGAAGCCCATGTTCCAGCTTCTCGAGACTTCTTGCGTGTTAGCCAATCTTCAGCCATAAGTCTGCCTGTTCAAGATCCTGCACTTCGGCCCGCACTTCCGAAGCAGATCCAGCGACCTCATCTGCGTCGAACCCGTCTCCTGGTCCAGCAACTTAGCTCGACTCCACCTTACGCGAGGCACCAAGCCATCTCCGGCTTCTCTACCCCCGTCTGCAGCAACGCTCGATGAGCAAATGCCACCCGGTCTGTCGCTTCATGCCTGTCCACAAGAACCTCATGGCCTACAACACTGGACGGAACCAACACCTGTCTCGATCTCATTCTTGCCTTCCAATCTCTTGCTTGACAAACTTTTGATTTTACCATGACATCATCCTCTTCATCAGTAAGATCTTAAATTCTTTTCTGATTTTCCTTCCCATAAATCTGAATGAAAGGGTGGAAGGGTTCCTCTGTCCCGTGCAACTGCTCAAGACCTCCTCTCTTTTTTAACAAGAACCTTCCTCCATATCCCTAGCTCTGATACCATTTTGTAGGATCTTGGAGATGTTCTTGAGAGCTCATCTTGAGCTCTTCTTGCAAGAGAGGGAGAGGGAGGGAGAGAGATAGACAGCGATTGGGGAGGAAAATACCTAAAACTTCGTTAATTTTTCCCAACCAATACATCATACAAGACCTCTATATATAGAGATGTACAAGGGTGTGGTAGCATGCATGAACAACGTATCCTAAAACTAAATCAATACATAACACTAATGAATCAAAAATGGATATTTGGCACCAAATTAACTCACTTGACGCACTAAGTTAGCTTATAGGGGTCCACATTTCGACTGCAAAATGTTTAGAGTAGTTATCTTGATCAGCACTCCCATTTGTGTTTGGCGTTAGATTCAGATAGCCTGCAAACTAATCTCAATGGGTTTTGTGTCTGCTTCTGTCACTGGAGCTGTCACTGCTCTTGCTACCTAATGCTATTATAGAAGGAGACATGAGTTTAATTATGAGTGTAACAGAGATCAACAGTGAGAACTTTACACAGTTGGTGCTGATGTTGATGTTGAAGAAAGACAACTAAGAATGATCCAAAGGTGGCTTTGTTGGAGGAAGATCTAATGGTCAAGGGGTGCAAGGCCCAATAGGCTATGATAACTGGTGGTTGGTTGGAATGAGTGCAAATAGGTATTTTATCGGTGAGCGCACATTGGATCAATCTTGGACACAAGAGATGGTAGCATAAATAATCACGCACAGGAGAGGTGCAATGATGGTGAATGCAAGCAATCTATGGTTAGTCAATCGGTCATGTGCAAGTGTTGGCTATCAACAAGCGCAAGTAGGGACATCGAATGATAAGGTAGTTGAGATTGGGAAGGTGGCTATTCTCAATGGAAAGAGGAGAACATATTGAGTTTGGCTCTGAAATCATATTAGAAGGGTGGAAAATTTTATATCTTTTTTGAATTATCCTTTTTCCTATCTATCAAGAGGAGAGAGCAATCAATGAAAATATAATAAATGAGGATATTTCTAAGAAAATTATAATAAAGGAGAATATTTTTAATAATAGGAAATATTATAATAAGTAGCATTGATTCTTATTATAAATAAGTTGGCACTTTTATAATTTAGATATGATAATAAGAAATCAACATCATAGGCATGTTTGCAACAAAATGTTGATTTGCAAGCGAGCACAAATTATAACGTTGTCATCCCTATTTGAAACATAATCTTACAACTTAGTTGTGAATAGTATTGATTTTTCTTTGTGGATATATTTGATTCAAACAAAATAATTTGTATTATGGGCTTCAAAAAGACTGCCATGCAATTGACTTGCAAGATTTCTAATGAAGCAAAAAATGGATATTTGGCACCAAATTAACTCACTTGACGCACTAAGTTAGCTTATAGGGGACCACATTTCGACTGCAAAATGTTTAGAGTAGTTATGTTGATCAGCACTCCCATTTGTGTTTGGCATTAGATTCAGATAGCCTGCAAACTAATCTCAATGTGTTTTGTGTCTGCTTCTGTCACTGGAGCTGTCACTGCTCTTGCTACCTAGTGCTTCTTAGAACACGGAGACCATTGGGTGGGTTATAGGTGTCTGTTGAAACCAATTATGGTAATCCAAGTTTGATGTCACTATAGAATAACAAAGTGGCCTGGTGGTAGGCAAGTCTGGACTGTTCCAGAGATAAGGAGTTGCCAGTACTTGCTTTCTACATGTTTGTTTGGTTTGGTACTGTCATTAAATTGCAAAAACCTAGACAACTATCCTCCAGTTTTGTCTAACATCTTGAATAAAGCACTTTGATCTTCTGATATTATCTAAAATTTTGAAATTAAGATAGCATCAAACCATAGATTTTGTGATTGCTATCTAGTTAACATATCAGCCAAGATAGCTGCAAATCAAGTAGGCTTTTAGGTTAATCTAATAGCTGTGTATACTATCTACCACTTGTTTACTCTGTTAACCTTTAAAGTTTAAGAAGACTTCTTAATAATTAATCCCATCCTTCAAAGCTTTTCCTCTGCATCTTCCACTCTCATTACTCGCATATGAGAGCATTCTTCCTTCGCCCTGCTTCCCTTGCCATTCTTGGCTAGATTTGGCTGGTTTAGCTAGTTTTCTTTTTTTCTTGGACTCTCTTTCTCAAAATAACATTTCATAGTTGCACTGGTAGTTCTCCAACGTTGAAATGGTTGTTGTTGTCTCTCTAGAATCATATATGGGGAAGAGATGATGAAAAAATTGGAGCAAATCAAAAAATAATAATAAAGAAAAATAATATAGAAAACAAATGGGGAAAAGACCGACTACAGTTGAGGTTGGAAGCTTCATTTAATCAACTCTAAATAGCATGATAAATTCAAATTTAATATATACAATTATGGCAAGGATATTTGTTTTGTAACAAACTTGTGTGCATTTTTACCTCTGTTAGTAGTGTTAGTTGTG